GGCTAGGGCATCAGACAGGAGATATTGTCCCTTCCACTAGCCATTAGGCACTAGCTTGGCTCAGCTTACAGTGAAACTTATGTACAGCAATAACATAAATATAGGGAGCAGAAACACTAGCATCGGGTATCTGCAGGGAGAAGAGACTGGAAAGAAGGACGTGGCTTTGATTATTCCTACCTCGTTCCCCTCCATGGAAAGGAGAAAGAAAGGAACCAGGTTCTCCAAATCACAGGTGAGGTCCTACTCTCCCTCATCCCGATGGAGATAAATGTTCCACTCCAAGTAAAGAGGGAGAAAATGGGGAACCAAGGATCCCAGTCAATGGATAATCAATGATCCCAGTCACAAGGGATCACAGCACAAAGTCCCCTCTTGCTCACCTGAAGTATTACAGTTAATTTTTAAACCTTTATTAATTATACTGGAGTCAGCTTAAAATCCTACAGTTCATTAAACCCAACTCTTATCTGGAAGATCTATCTTTCCCTTGTCTTTCTATACAGCAATCAGTTAAAAAAATAAAAATAAAATTAAAAAGTGAGAGGTCTATTTCCTTTATGTCAACTCTCTAAATATCTAATATTTATTAGATATTAGTCATGCAACATCTGTGTCAACCACTGACAGTGACCACAGCTGATGCATGGTTACAATATCAATTTATCTGCGTTTGAAAAATTCAGGTATGTGGCAGGAGATGATGATTTCTGCTGTGATTTGTGGGGAGGTAGGGAATAGCGGTTAGATAAAAGAAAAAAAGAAAGTATTTTATCTTTTATTGCTTGTCTCATACACAAAGATCAAGGAGATTGGTGCAGTAATTCAACCAATGTAGACTGGAGGGGATCTCTGGATGTCTCTGATCCCACCATCCATGAAGAGCAGGGCAAGCTTCAAGGTCGCATCAAGGCACCCAGCCATGTGCTAAATATCTTGATATCCAGATTCTCCCAGAAATTACATCCATGGCTTTCAGTGAGCCACACAAGGGTTATGTGCAAGAGGATGAGCATTGCATTACCTTATAGGTGTTTGTAAGAATATGCACTCAAGAGAAAGAAAATGCGGTACTTTCCAGGAAGAACTAAGAAAATATCTTTCAATGTGAAATAGAAAAATGCTTCCAAATCATTTGTGCTTCTATAGTTTATGCTTCTATAGCGTAAATAAAGCGTTTATGCTTTTTCATAATATATATAATAAAAAATAAAATTAATTATTTTATATTTGCTATTTATGCTTCATAAATACTATTTATGCTTCTAAAGAGGCTTTCTAAAGAAACATAAATAACTTCACAGAATCGCAGAATGGTTGAGATGGGAAGGGACCTCTAGAGATCATCTAGTCCAGCCCCCTGCTCAAGAGGGGACACCTAGAGCACGGGGCACAGGGTCACATTCAGGTGGATTTTGAAGATCTCCAGAGAAGGAGACTCCACAACCTCTCTGGGCAGCCTGTTCCAGGGCTCTGTCTCCATCATGGTCAAGAAGTTCTTCCTCATATGGAGATGAAACTTCCTGTGTTTCAATTTGTACCCATGAACTTACTTGATAGTGATTGAAATAAAGCTCAAAGTATTATGAGATTGCCATTTCTCTTTTAATTTGCACCAAGGTGAGTTCAGACACTGGTCTCTGCTCTGCCACTGACTCACACGGTGACTTTGAGAAAGTGTCACAAAGGCCATATATCCAGGCTTGAGCACCTAAAGGATCTCAGCTGAGTACTTAGTAACAACTTAATCTCAAAAAAAAATTACAGAGCCAAGAGAAAGATGACCTCTGTCTTCAGCAGATTAATAATTTTTCATTTCAAGTTCAAAGATTTCAATAATTTTGTTTGTTTGTTTTTTTCGGTAACCTTTTGTTAACATCCCAGTTTTCAGATCCCCAAATAACTGCAATTTCTGTTGATTGTGGCACTAGCTGTTTTCGTGCTGGATGTTGATTCTAATGGGAGGTCAAAGAATATAGAGCTGTGTACTCACAGTGTTTTTTATGTCATCTACCTACAATGTCATATACTTACATTATAAAAACAGTTACTTTTTATCTCCTCACAAATGAAAAAGAAAAAGGAGAAGACATAGCCCTTTTGCATAAAGAAATGAAATTGCTAGTTAAGAGAGGTGTTGGGATAAAAGAAATCCCAACTCCAAACTCATTAAAAAAAGTTTAATTTTTCTTTCATTCCAAACCAAAAAGAATTGGAAATAGAATGCTTGTAACAAAGGAAAATCCTGGAATCAGAAATGTGAGACGTTCATTTGTATAATTCGAATGCTCTAGAAGCATTTCAAGAGGTTCATTTTCTCCTGAGCTGTCTCATCTTTCCTCTGAGAATTGTGGACAAATGCGTTCATGGTTCAAAATAAACCATGGAAAGAGTTGCGTTTTTTTCCTTCGCCATTTCAGTGTTATATTACGTTAGTCAAGCTCTTACGCTTAACTGTTCACCTTTCAAACACAGAGGTAACCCAAACCACTGACACACTTAGAGCAGATGAGCAGGGATTTAGGGTCAGGCTGGTTGAACCTGACCTTCCGCTGCCTCATGGGCTTTCAACACCTTTCTTCTTTTAAAATTTGAAATTTAACTGACCCACTTTGAATGGATATTTCAGTAAGTGGCTTTAGAGAAAACCCCTTCTGAGGGAACCATTTCCGTTAACCTGTGTGCCTCTTACTCTGAGAGGGAAACTGAATTATACATTTAGCTTTTGAAACATCAGCATCTTTTAAAACAAGCTCATATAGGTCACAGCAATCCCAGAAGCTGCAAACTGAGTTCTACCCTCATTTACCTTCCTCTTTGGATGGTATAGGGTGAGGAATTTAATCTCTGAAGCTGGAACCAAAGCACGAGGATTTCCCCTGCTAACCTCCCCAGAGACCATAAGTCAAAAGAAGGGACAGCCTTGAAGCAGCTCAGCTTCTCTTGGGTGCAGCCTTCTTCATCTCAGCGAAAAATTAAGAAATCACAACAACCTGAATGGGAGAAGGAGACCCTGTGGGTTATCATGCCATGTGTAGTTCCTCCACCTGAACATGCATATTGAAATAGTATATGTTTAAATAATAAGGTGGCAAAAGTTATTTTGCATCCTAAATTCTTCACATTTCTCTAGAATCCCTCTTATTTTGCATCCTACATTCTTCACAACATTTGTCTAGAATCCCTCTTCACTTAGGAATCCCTCTCAAATTACGAATTTGGGGATCAACTACACCTGTCACAGACTTCTTTTACTAGGATCTTAGGCCTGTGTCACAGCACAAGAACATACAGTGAACCCAAAATGATGCCAAACTCAAAAAGAATTGAAATAAATTTGAGGAGGGGTTGTTTTTTTGTGTGTTTTATTTCTTCTCTCCCTGATGGAGAATGACTGAAACTGAGAACTCACTATGACAATGCATTTAGTTCAAAACTTACATATCACAGCTGAGATATCCAGGCTAAGAAATCTGAGAGAAGTTTGGGCAAGTATCCAGATGCTCAGACATGAAGTCAAGTGACCACGTTTGCTAAGCATGGAGAGTTATCGCACCAGGGTCAGGTGTCCAGCATCTGCCCAATTCAGGATGAGAAGACATCAGACTGACTGAGAAGCAAACTGACTTAATCTGGTAGTGACAGTGACATTAGTGTTTTTGATAGCTACATCATCTCAAGGAGTCCATGAAGTGCATCGACTCAAAAGCTCACTACTTTGCTCACTACTTTTGCTATGAGCTTTGCTCACTGACCTTGCTGCAGTGCACATACCAATTTTTCAGTGGTCCTCTAACAATAATGTTGATTTTTTTTTGCTGCTGTTTAGTGACATAGGTAATGTAATGACAGATCTAAGAAAGGATGAGCCCATATCTTGTGTCCTATCTGCGTTATGGAATATATATGCATAGACCTTTACATTCATGTTATGGTCAAAAACCACAGTTGGAAAAAAACACCTACTCCACATTAACTAGGACAGCACAGGAACCCCTATAAAAAGTCCATCAGCAAATGTGCCTAGACACCTTCAGTCAACAGAGCCCAGCACAAGTATCAGCTGCAGCAAGAGAGAGAAGTAGGATGTCTCTGACCGTCTCTGCACCTCTGGTAAGAACTGGCTTTGTTTTTTTTTTCCAATTTGATAGACACATTTAAATTAGAATGGATGACTGGGAGGAATGGGGATCTACATCCACCTTTAAAATATTTATTCAATCTACTAATACACGATAAGAACTAAAACATAAGACTGCTGAATGGCATCATCTTGGGGCAGTGCTGAGATTATATGGATATATTAGTGAACTGAGGCACTGCAATATGTTCTGAAAACAAGTTAAAAAATCTGACTTGGAGTTGATTTTTGTTACCATAACCTCTGTACTGTCTTATATCTTTTATTGTTTATATAATATAAATTATATAATAATTTATAATTATACAAATTATAATATCTACATAATATAAATATTATAATTTATATTTATATAATATATATAGCAATTATATAATATTAATAATATATATAGTATATAATTTATATAGTATACTTATATTTCTTACCACCACATTTCAAATGAGTATATAGCATCATAGAATCATAATGTTTAGGAAAGACCTTTGAGATCATCAAGTCCAACTGCAAGCTCCTCAACACTATCCCTGTTAAACCATGGCCCTAAGCACCTCATCTACATGTTTCTTGAACCCAGCCAAGGATGGTGACTCCACCACTTCCCTGGGCAGCCTGTTCCAATGCTTGGCTAATCTTTGCATGTAGAAATTTTTCCTAATATCTAACCTGAAATATGTGTGTCAGGACAGTGAGAATTAGTTAATACAAAGCAAGCATAGATATGATATACATTATTCCATGATTGTTCCAATGTACAGTGTATGCCCTTAACTACCAGCCAGTCAAGGCATGATGCATTATAGCACCCACATTTTGTCCTAACTGGGCCTATTGTCTTCAGCTCAGGTCACTGCTCCTCATGGTGCTGGTCCTGCTCTCAGCCCGTTCTGCCTATGGGAAGGCAGTACGGCCTGGGTCCAGGCCAGAGAGCCTCTTCAAGCAAGCAGACACTCGTTGCCCATCCACAAAAGATTCTCAATTCCCTCAAGCCGTGAAAGTCAACATAAGCATCAACAGTGTAAACCAGAACACCAAAATGAGTGCTGATGTTAGCAACCGGTCACTGGCTCCATGGGATTACAGGTATGATCTCTTTTTCTGTTATCTAATCGATCATCAAAAAAGCCTCAGAGGGTCAACACTGAACCAGTTAAATCAATGGCGCTTTAATAACATCAGAATTGGGACTTAAGAGCATCCCATGTTTTGACGGGGAGATGAAGGGCTTGGGAACATTTAATCATCTGACAGGTTGTAGAGCTCAAGCTGTTTGTAATCAGTCTTTAAAAGACAGTGGCCATCTGAAGCAGGCTCTTTGCAAAGACTGCTGAATAGTCCTGGCATGCTTGCCCAAGATAAAATCTGCAGTAGCAGAGGGTCTACTGCATCTTCTTGGTCAATCTGTTCCAGGGCATACAGGTCCACATGCTAAGAGCCCATACCAATCCAGACCATCACACCTCCTGACATGTAGCAGCACTTCCATTTCACATACTTCTCTATCCTTCCACTTCAACTTACAGAATCAACAAGGACCCCAACCGCTTCCCCCACGTGATTGCTGACGCCGAGTGCCGCCACACCAGCTGCGTGGACATGGCCGGGCAGCTTGACTACAGCGGCAGCTCCGTCCCCATCCATCAGGAGATCCTCGTTCTCCGTCGGGAACAGAGGGGCTGCCACCACTCATACCGGCTAGAGAAGATGATGATCACTGTGGGCTGCACGTGTGTCCACCCCATCATCCAACACCAAGCATAAAAAGAGTTGATTGATAGATAAGAGATGGGAGCTGCAGAATTTCCTACTCTAATAGTCAGAATGGGCCTTTGGCTAAAAAAAAAAAAAAATAGCCTGATTCAGTTTTTGCAAAACAGTAGAAATAAATCAGATTAGCTAGTTTCTGCAGAGGAAACCAAAAATGAAGAAAACCGTTAGATAAAAAAAAAATCTTTTTCTTCACAAAATCGGTTCCAAACACCTTAATGTGCCTGTCTGAAAAAAGTAATGAAAACTCTTTGAATGTCTTTAGTTAATACTTTGACAGATCTATTTATATAATTCTATTTATACTGGTTAGCAATATGTAGCAATGTGCAACCATATTTAGCAATAAGTTAGCAATATGTATGTCTATTTATCTTCATGCAATTAAAAATCTAGCAAAACAAATCTATGGTATTTTCCTTTCTAATGAAACCTTTTCTGCAAGGAGAGAAATCACTCAATGCAATCATCACCATATGAGATTTTGCATGATGAATTAAAGAATTTAAATTCTCCTGATAATACCTGCCTCTGTTGAGATAGAGATCAACAGGGCAAGTTATGGTAAGTATAACTAAAATGATTTTACAGATAGAGATATTAAGATACCAGGAGCTATATCATTTATTGAAACACAACAGATTCACAGCAAAACCAGACTAGCAAAAAAAGCAGTCGGTAATTACCCAATTATCCACATAATTAACCATTTTAAATGAAACTTATAATAAATAAACAAAAAGTTCAACACAATGCTTTGAATCCTGAAGTAGAAAAGAAACCTTTTTTTCCCTTCCTTGTCATGCTAATCTGTCATTAAAGGAGACAGTAAAACAACCCAGGGGGGCAAAAACCAGTGGGATTTATTTAGTTGATTTTATTCACCAGCACAAGATTTTTGCAATAACAACATCCACCATTACCTCGTGCAATTGTTATAGGAATCGGCTGATCAATTAGTAAACAAGAATTAACAATTAGCACAACTAAATGAAGTACACTGCTTCTCCCAGAAAAAAAAAGAGAAATAAAGACAAAATAAAAAGCTAGAATATAATGAAATAATATGTTAAAAGCTGTTATAACATTACTACATCCTTGAATATACAGGGAACTCTAAACCTTGTAAGGAGTGAAAAATATACGTCAGCGTTTCTACACCCTGAAAATATAGGGGGGACACAACCCCAGAGGGAGTCACCTTAGCCCAGCGTCCCAGGTTAAGGAGAGTGAAGGGATACTCACATCATGGTCTAGGCAGAGGAGTTGTTCAGTTGTAATTCTTGATCCCTGCTCAACTCATCAATTCTAGATTCAGTCTTTCATACCCTTAGGGAAGGAGTACATGACTGTCCTATGGTCATTCTTTCAAAACATCTTTTCAAAAATCTTCAGATGAGATTGATAAAAGCATCTGCTTTTTTTTTGCGTGGTCGTCATAATGAGTCTTGGTCCCTTTTCAATGTTAGCAAAACATCTTTTCAAAAATCTTCAGATGAGACTGATAAAAGCATCTGCTTTTTTTTTTACGTGGTCATCGTAATGAGTCTTGGTCCCTTTTCAATGTCAGCAAGTTTGCCCACTTTGGTATTGTTGCAGTTTTCAGCAAGGAAAGACCATCCTGCCTCCCCAGGGTTTCTCACTTCCCCATCTTCCTGCTGGGGACAGTACTGAGCGTTTCCTTCATCAGGTATTTGCCACATCATCAGAGTGCAATTCAGCAGTGTCATCATTAACTCTTTACTTGTCCATCATTCCCCTTCAAAACGCAGAATGTATTTACAGTATTATAGCTTAAATTTGGTTTGACATTGTCTCTAAATTTCAGTAAAACCCCATTCAACACATTTGCTGTAGTACAGGCTCATTACCTGAGTACAAGGCGAAGAGTGTCCAAGTGAATCAGATGGATAATTAAAGCAATTAACTGCTGGTCAGAGAAAATGCACTTGTATTTTTCTCCATACTCATATCCTTCACACTTGCTGCCACAAGTTAATGCTTCAGGGACCTTTCAAATGCAGAGCAAAGTGATGCAACATTTCTACTGTGATTGTAATGGGACTAGTGTAGTGGGAAAACTAATTCTACATGTGCCTTTATTTAAGGCACAGTTAGATTAAAAGTGCTTGCATGAAAATGTTCTATGTTTCAAATGACTGTCTAGTGTGTGAAGACACGGATATTTTGTTTGCTGCTGTTCCGGGGACGTGTGTCCCCCTTAGTCATCCGTGAAACGTCACTGGCAAATGCTATAGGAAATACTGAATTTCCACACAGACCTCAAGGATGCCAAGTCCAGCTGAGAATCAAGATCTCAGTGAAAGCATCTCCTCTAGATCTACCTGTGTTATCTGAAGACAATTTCACTTCAATTTCTACTGCTGGGGCTTACTGTCCACAGATGTGCCAAGGAGACTGAGCCTTCTCTGATCCACTCCTGGCAAAATCAAGAGGGTCAGATAATATGACTGAAGCTCATGGCACAGTCAGAGTTTTCATATTATCCCTTCACCCCTCAGTGGGTCAAAGTAATTTTAACCAGATATATTTGGCAATATCTGCAGTAAATGCAACCTTAACAGGGAGCTCCACAGCTGTACTTACCTCCTAAAAAGAGCAGATATAACTTTGACAACATGTAGGTAGCTAGTAATATAGAAGATCTGAACTTAGCTTATGTCCTACCTTGTCTTCAGCTATTCCTCCCTAAGGTCTCCTATAGGTCCTGAACTTCAGCTCAGCTGACAGTCCAAAATGTACTTATGCATGGGAACAGTCTACCAAAAAAACCACCAAGAAACATTTTCTGCTGGCAGGCTTCAAAGATACTCCAACACCTTCCAGAGGTATCAGTCTCCCTTGGATCATTTACCAACCCAATGAAGTCTGTGCCTGAGGTCACAACGTTTTCATTTACTTGGCCTTGCGCCAGCTTCAGGCCAACTGCTGAAAGCTCCTTGTTTCTTCCTTGCACTTCTACATCCAAGTGATGCACAGAATAAATATAAATCAATGCATCTTGACATGAGGTGACCTAATCAGTGCCTGTTTCTCTGAGCAAACATTCATGATTACAGTGATACCAGTCACAACAGGAGATGGAGGATAGGAGGATCCCTCTTGACTTTTACACAGCTCCAGAATGGTTTAAGGTTCAACACTTAACATTTTTTTGTCTATCTTGTCTGGGAACACTTCAGTGCACCTTCCTCCTGATATGATGTCCTGCAATGAAACCGGTGGTCTGGAGTAAGTGCAAAACATTTTCATCAGGAAGGCATTTCCAGTCCTAATCAGCTCCTGGTCTCAGTTTCGTTTCAGTTTGAAAAATCTCAGCAGCAGTAGCTGCACATTCACAGAGTGCCAAATCAGTAAAAACAAGCAGAAAGGGAAGTTTGAGTTTGGGTTTGTGTGGCACAAGATCAGATAAATGTTCTCATCAGTGCCACTTATCAAAGCAAAAAATGCAGGTGCCAGCTGTTTGTAAAAGATTGAGAGATTGAACTATTTTGCAAACCCTGCTGCCTGAAGAGGAGCAGAATACATAAATTCAGTTGAGATTTCAGAAGGCTGAAAGAAAAGCAAAGCCCCAAAATTACATGGGCAATTTGGTAAGAGGACAGACCATCTTTAATCATTTACTGGAAGAGGGAACCTTGATCATGATACAAACGAATTGTGCTTGTCAAGAATGTAGATAAACCAGAAATATTATGCTTTACGCTGGTTTAGAAAACCACCAGAACTCACCAATTCACTCACAGCAAGTTTTGTCTAGAAAACAGTATTTTGAGTACAGCTTGACCCTCAGAGAATACCAAACATATTTTTTATTCTCTTTTTGAAGTTACTGAATAAAAGATGAAAAAAAAAAAAGAATTAGCTTTTGTGAAAGCAAAGAAAAACCTTCTCAGCACATGGTCCCAGAAAGACCAACCAGCAAATCAGCCATCCTCTCAGGATGTTTGTTAGATCTAATTACCTATGAGCTATGTGAGCTGGGGGATTTTTAAGCTGTTGCTCCTCTAGCTCATCAAACATAGGGGTTACACAGCTCTTGATTTGTCTCATTGTTGCAACCTCTTGCAATTTATAAATACATAATTTCTGTGCGCTATAAAATCATCAGTCTTATGGAAGAAGCTGACTGTCTGTTGCCCCTTTGAATATCTCCAGGAACATCTATCTGTTGCCAAGGGTTTAGGGGAAGCCTGACTCACAGCAGCAAGCCAATGTATCCACGATGGAGATGGGATATTGCCGTGATGCTAATGCGGGTCTTTTTGCAGCGTGATCCATTTATCAGGGTTGACACATCCCATGGGAGCTGCTGCACAGGAAGATCCCTGCAGGACAGACTCAGCCAAGGCGAGAAGGACTGAGCGAAGGGACAGAGAGAGGAGGTGAGAGGCAAGCAGAGGAGGAACGGAATGGGAAAGGCCCTAGGGCTCCAATGAGCACAATGTTCCAATGCTTAGCCCAACCAGTTACAAGAAAACACTGTGGGACTGCTACTGTACTTACAGCTGTAGCATCTCCTTCTTGTGCCAGGCATGAAACAGCCAAATCCTTGAAGCCTTGGAGCCAACCACACAGCAGCAGCTCCGGAGATGACTTCCTCCTAGGACAACTTGGATCTGGGCTCAGTTCATGGACTAAATGCCAACTTTTCTCCAAGAGCAGCACAAGCAGGTAAAGCAAGGGCTCAGTTCTGAAAGACGTGTGCTCTTGGTGATGATATGACTGTGCTGTTTACAGGAAGCACAACCTTGTTTGCCATATTCTTAGATTGCTGGGAATGAAGATCGAGCACAGAGCTTATTGCAAGAGCACCCACTTAAAAAAATAACCAGACTCTTATTTACAGTCAACTGCACTCTAAGAATGATGCCATTACGAGGAAATAATCCACATTGCTGGTTTTATTAAAAAACAACCCCTCACACAAGTGCACATCTTAATGGGAGGTATGTGGTTTTTAATTGATGCAT